TTTTATAAATTTATCGGTCAACAAACAACAATTGCCCCTTTCTTAGAAAATCTTATTCCTTTGTTNTTCACATGTTTTACAAAAAAAAAAATTTTAAAAAATTAATATTTTAAATTTAAAATGATAGTTTAGGCATAAATATGAATTTACAAATAAAAGTATAGATGGACAAAGTCCAAAAAAACGTCCTTTATATCCAATTTTCCCATTTATTATCTTTTTCTTCTTTTTTCGTTTTGGAGTCCACAAAATTATTGGAATAATTAGAAAATTAAATTTAACAAAAAAAAGACTAAGAAATGATATTAAAAAATTGTTAGAGATTAGTTTTATGGTCTATATAATTTTGTTTACCTTATAAAAATTTCAAGGTGTTTTCATAACTCCCATTTTTTTATTATACATGAAAACTCTAAAACCAATGTACTGTATACTACAAACATTTCATTTGCAGAGATTGAGAGCTAACAAACTTACAAACTTACAACAATACAATGGTGTATGTAAAGAAGCAAAGACGAACAAAAGAAGCAATCTTCTTAAGCACTCTTTCATCACTTTCCCTTTTTCTTTATACAAATCATCATCACATAACATTAACAAAACCTACTGTGTATAAAATGTAAAATCAATCTTTCAACTTCTTGGCTCTACGACGCATTTGGATGATGCATAGAGGTTGTTGCATCCAGCGTTTGTGGTGGTTGCGTCTGAGTATGGTTCAGCTGTTGCTCTAGCCTTCGTGCTCGCCATCTTCGTTTCCATCTCACAAACTCAACCATCACTGAACTTCCGCATATGCATACACCAAATCCAGCAAATGTTGACAGAAGCACTGATAGAACCGGTTGCAGCTTCACCTGATACCACCGAGAGATCCGATTTAACAACAAATTTTGAGCTTAAAGACTTACATTATGATAAAAGGTTGCAACTTTTAAGTTGAGTTTCGCGCTAAAAGTCTTGATTTCTATCGGCTAAACCATAAGCTTGCAAATTCTTTAGTAGCTTTAAGAATATGTCTTCAAGGGAAAGATGCGATGAAGAGTACTAACCACGGAGTAAAATATGTGGGCGAAGAGAACAACCAGAGCAAACTGGACAGATGCGTAAATCCAAACAAATCTTCTCATTACTGCACAAGATTATTCAAGAATTATAAACGGATCAGAGTGGAAGAACACAATGAAAATGAGCTTTATTCCAAATGAAGACCTACCCATGGTTGATGCGGTCATGGATGCAAGAAGACCAAGAATACAAGAAAATGGCAGAGATATCGCGATTGCGCCTGTTCCCATTTTCTCAACCTGCAAACAAAACTTATTGTTAAATGTTAATGCTTGTTGCTGTTAAAGGTGATTATAAGTAGAAGAGACGAATTTTACCAGGAGCTGCTCGAGGAAGCAGAAGTAAGCGAGCATGCTGATGATTACTAGAACCGGCACCTCCTGCCATACCCTGTCGATAATTAATAAAGAGATTTAGGCAAAGTTTACTATTTGACAAAAAGAAAGTTTAGAATGTTCAATTCTTGCAGAAAATTTGAACAAGAATGAGAAAGAGTATTTTACCTGTAACCAGTGACATCTAGCTGATGAATACCGGAATTTCGAATGCTTTGGATCCGCAAGAGTGTTACAGGTAAGTTCTTAACTTCTTGTTTACACACCTCACAGGTCTTGTTACCCTTTATGGTGAACCATTTAAGAGCACAATCTTTGTGAGCAAGAGCAAGTTCTCCTTTGCAACTACACTCCATTTTTAAGGTTTCTCCTCCTTCACAGAGCTCTACCAAACAAATCCTACAAACCGCTTCATCCTCACGTATGTCTTCTCCATCAGCTTCACCGGTTTCTGTTCAATGCATGAAGATAGATTTTCAGTGTACGATACAAAAGAGCGATGTATAACCGATTGAATTATGAACTTACCAGTATCATTAGCCTCTGATGCATTTGGAAACATGTCTCCTTCCTTTACACGAGGAGTCGAAGGAATTACTCTGAAGAATGAATCCATTCTATTTAGGCTTCCTTCCTTGTCATTAACATTAACAGGCACAGAGCGAGAGCGAGCTATCTGCACACTCCCTTTGCTCTGCAATACCAAGTATGAGTACCTAACCGATTGTACGGTAATTTGAGACAATACAAGAGAAAGCTTACGCTTGGAGTTAACGGAGCAGCAGCGCTTCCTCCGTGAGCTGACTCTGACTTTGAAAGAACAATGGGAGTCACAGGTAGAGACGAAGTTCTCTTGATCCTAGGCGTAAATAACTTTGAAAGTGATAATGACCTCGATATCGAAGCCTTCTCCTGCAATACAGAAGGAGAACAAGCATCCCCTTGTCCCTTCTCGATATCGGTATTAGAGATTTTTGGCTTCAACCCTTTTGGCAATAGATTCTTCAGGGACGATTTGCTACGCGCGAGAACAGATGAAGAAGAAGGAGTAGGAACCGGAGAGCTCGAAGTCAAAGCAAAGTTCACTTTTCTCGGAGTTGGACTAGGCGTTGGAGGCATTTTGATTACAACCGAATCTTCAGGAGAGAGACCAGTTGCTCTGGAAGGTATCTGCAAAGAGAGATTCTTTCGCTTCCATTGTTGAACATTTGTACAAGCCTCTTCCGTTATAGCTGAGGATTCCTCGGCCTATAAAAGCAACAAAAGAGTTCTATAAAGAAGTTAAACAAACATAGCAACTTCCTCAATAGAATTGTTCCCTTGTATGAAAACTAAACAACTCTAATCAGACATTAAGGTTCCAAGGTCAATTTGATCTGCCTCAATAGCATGAGTCCTTAAAACATAACAATCCAATTTTTGGCAAGTGATTAGCACAAAAAAGCTCTCTTCTTTTCAATTCCATATAAGCATCTATTCCTCTTACAGACACATCTAGTTCCTCTCACATCATCAACAAGAAACAAAGATCCATACATGCATATGTTTGATATGTGTATGTGTACCTGATTTGAAGAAGGAGCAGAATCGCCATGGCTTGAATCAAGAGGATTAAGAGGCTTCTCGTCAATAGCCATCACTTTTACAAACAGCAAGAGATTGATTTCAGACAAGCTTTAAGAATTCAAAATATTCTCCACACCAAAAGCACAAGTGAGAGGAAGAGAGAAAACGAAACCAAACCTTAACAATTGGAAAGACTTTTTATTACAAGGCCAGACAAAGACAGAGAATAATCTAGTAGTAGTAGTTACAAGCTTTCATAGTTTGCTAGAGAAAAGCGTGACACAGTAGCTAGAAACAAAAAAAAAAACCACACACAAGTAGAAGAAACAGAGAAACGTATCCAAAAAGAGAAAAGTTCTAAAATTTCCTGGAAACCCGCCTAAAAGTAAGAAACTTTTGAAACGGAAAGAACAAGAAAGAGAGAGAAAGAGGTGTAATCTGTTTATCTTCTCGAGATTGGTGCTTATGATGAGGAAGAAGATAATGGAATTGGGATGAAGAAGAAGCGTTATTAGAAAAAAAAAGTAAGGAAA